TTCCAGCTTCCCCAGAGGTCACAGAAAGTCTCATTCCAACTTCACATACCCAGCCTATGCATTGGCAGGATGCTATTTTGAAATTCCACAATTTGAGGGAGGGGGAAACTTCAGCACATGCAACTGTAGTTGATGTACTACTGAATTTGGGCCAAGACAGTTTGTCCCTGCGTCTCCAGGCATTTGGCAACAAGCAGAGAGAGAAGTCAACAGTTAATTACTCAAACAATTGCCTAATCCTAAACGATCGAAGTAAATGATAGTTTAACCTTTGACTTCCATGTGCAAAGGAAAACTTAAGGTGATTTTGTCTTCAACATCACAAGTCTTCCCACATGGCTACCAGAAAAACCACTTACCTTTAATGAAACATCATATTCCTGTGACTGAACACTAACTTGAATAACGCATGCAGATCACAACTTGGAGAACACAAGTTGTAGGTAAGAAAACTGGGGGATGGAAGGCAGCTGGAGTTTCCCTCTGGTTCTTCCACAGCATTTGCAATCTTAAATATTCCCAACTTAGTTAATTTATACTTATAAATCTAGGGCCAAGAAAGTATTTTATAACTAAACCCAATGAAGAAGCAAACAAAACTGATTTGCTTCAATGTGTCCAGGTATATGATCACTTTAGATCTCAACATCCTTGCAGTTTAGCTACTTGCTAAATTAGCACATAATGACACTGAATGTGTAACTATGTAGATAATATTTTCCATTTATCCCTAAAGGTCACCCATTTTTTCTGTCTGGCTTCTATTCTTAACATTTCTTTCCTACCACTTCAATAGACAGCATGCGACTCGCATAACCACTAATTACATTCTTACAAAAAATAACAAAACCATGTCCTGAAGGATGTAACAGAAAAACTGACAGGCAAACAACATTTCGTCACTAGAGACATCTGATTTCTAGAAAAGCTTAGAAGAAGAAAATCATTCCAGAAACTACCAACTCAAATCAAAGCAACATCCAATACGAGATGTTTCCCTGGAAAGAAAGTTAAACAGACAACATTTCTGAGCAGTATGAACTACCATTTTAATGACTATGGTATTTAAACACAGTGCTCAAAGCCAGCTCTCAGTTGCACCATTTTAAGTCTGGAATATCTTTATACAAAGAGCAGAACTCGGCTACTCCCATTGATTTGGTTGCATTTCATTCACTAGGTTCCATTCAACTAAAATTATAATTCATGTGAAACATACTGCTATTTACATAGATAGGAAAGGAAATTATGTTAAATTACAAAGTTTTCTTTCTGCATACTTAGCTTAGTGCCACCTATTAAATGGGCCAAATCCTGTCTTTACTCAAACAAAACTCCCTTTCCAGCAGAGCTGTATCTCTATATCGTCTTAACATTCTTGAAAAAAAAAAATGGCCAAAATTAAAGTACAAAATGTACATAATGCAAAAAGAAATTAGGGGCTATTCCAATAGGAATATTCCAATTGACTTCAATAGGCTTTGGATCAGGCTCTAATAAAGCAAATTAAACAGAGAGGAAAAAGGTTTAGGAAAACATCTCAATTCCTGTACACTGATATACAGTATTTTCAGCAGATATATACTTATCAGCACTGAAACAAACCTCAGATGAAAAGAATGTTTAATGGGATTGTGACAGAAAACCTATTAGAACATTTTATTTATTGTTCAAACATACAATGACCTGGCATTGGATTGCAGAATACGTTCTTTCTATTTACATTTTTATTATTTAAATCAAGTTTTCCTGCATCTTAATAAAATATCACTTCTTTCATTGATGCTGCTCTATGAACAGGTGTATTTCATTCAAACCTGAAGCTGTACTATACTGTACTGTTATCGATTATTAACAGTATTGTTTTTTAAGAGTATTTGCAGACGAACGCTTTTCTAAGTTTGCTTTAAAAAAACCAAAAAAACAATTACGATCAGAAAAGTCTTATTTAGGAAAAAAAGATCATTCATTCAGATGTGTACCAGAGATAACAAATGCAATTATTGTCACTCCTAGTCTAAAAATGTATATTCTACTAATCCTACACTTATTCACTACATGACGTATCAGAGACAATTTCAAGGGCAGTTTAAACTCTTATAACAGTGGAGCTTTTAAAAGAAACCAGTAGAAGCTTTTATGATTTCTGGCAAGTTGCTCTACTAATTCAGGGAGCATAATTGAAAAAGAGTGCCTTTTAAACTATTTTCCTTGTTTTACTGTTGGATAATGAGAACTGGAGTCTCCCCACAAATCTAAAGGGGTAATGAAATTCCCATTTCTGCCTTAAATTTCCTGCTCCACGTTACTAGTCTGGGTATCAGGTTTGCAGAGAACGTGGACAGTCAAAATACTCATAGAAAGGTATGGTCACCAATACTTAGATAAATGAGCTAACGGCAATAATTCTAAGGCTCATCTCAATTATCTATTTCCATTTCTTAGAATAACCTGTAGGAATCTGGCTCATGACCTTTTTATTTAATACAAAAAAACTTACATCCAAGGAACGTCAGAATCTTTTTCCACCAACACCAAAATATTCAGAGTTAAGAGTGAAAATGCTCCTCTATTTCAGCCTATTTGAGCCTAGGCACTGAGGCACTTATGACCATAACACTGAAATACACTTCAAGAATAGACTTTAATTCTGTAACCTAATCAAGGCACAAAATATTTATAACCACTCTCACACTTTTTCTATGCTGGTGAAGTAAATATTTTACTACTTAGAGATGAGTCTATATTAGATATGCATGGATATTAATTGTGAAGGGCTTTGGGATCCTCCAATAAGAAAGCTATTACATAAATGCAAGATAACAAGTAGAATCACTTAGTGTTCTGGTATCCTCTTAATGGAAGCGCATAATTACAGCAATGCCTGTTTTCATGTGTACTAAGTTAAGGGTGACCTTTTGTGGCCTTATCCCCAAATCTTTTTTGAACTTAGGTCACACTAAACACCAGTTTAACATAGTTTTCTTTCTTCTTAGTTTATTCTATAGCTAATTTAAGTGGCAATGACATGATTTTCTTTGGTTTTCCTATTATAACTTAGGCTCAAAAGAATTAAGTAGAATAATTTCAGAGGCAAAGTCCCTAATACAGTCTGAAGCTGAAACATCATAACTCAGATCTAATTACATCCTATATTGAGACAGCATTGGTCCACTCTCCTGAAAAGCCTTAATGCCAGCTTCCTAGCCATCTGAAAATCTAAGACCAAACACTTACTTAGCATCCAAGGAGCCCCCAAATTCTGAAGTTTGGTTTCCCCTCTCCTTACTGTTCACTTCAGGTTTCTGAATTCTTTTCAGGCAGACAATGAGAACACAGACTTTATTACAATCTCTCCCAATGCTTTGTGCATCTTTTTACTGTACCAATGTATTTTGGTTTCAGCTCAGAGCGCATCCTTAGAACTAAATTATAAACCACTAAACAAATGGGTGTTGTAATGGGAAGACTGACTGTAGAAGTGTAAGTGGCGCCAGTATAATATTGCTCAGGTCCATGTAGAATACAAATTCAGTACAGGACCACAGGTTCAGATCTTTGATCTCCCTTTTTGCAGAAGCTGTGATGTATAAAACCAATTCCACTGAGCAGACAGTACTACACTGAATATAAATTATCCTTTAACTATAGCAAGGCACTCTCATGCTCACATTTAAAGAAACGCTGCAAGGATGAACAAGGGAGCCATGAAGCAGTAAGACTTCTTCTGTAGAAAAAATACAAAAATCTTAATGGGTAATGACCTTATAGAAAAATAGATTTTCCCTCATAAATATATCCCTGTTTTTTGGTGAAAACCTAATTAAAATGAAGAACATTCTCTCATACACACATACGCACGCACGCACACACGTTCAGTGTACTATCGCTTGGTATTTCCATAAAGAAAAACTAAGTGAGTCTTACCACCATAACTGCAAGATTTTTTTTAAGCTATATTAAATTTAATTTTAAAATCTGGGTACCATCAATCCAAATTGAACATAACTTGCCATTTACAGGTATCTTTTCCAGTTCTTTCTTAAAAGAAAGAGTTTCCTGCCTACTGAACTAACCCCTAGATCCCCAGAGCTTAGCTATTAATATTCTCACCTCATCTTTTACAATTCACAAAAAAACCCCTCTCTCTTTTGCCAAGATGAAATGCTTAAGTGGAATTCAATGCGCTTAGACAGATTTTCTCCGCTGTATTTAAAATAAGCATTATTATTCTCTCTCAACTTTATTTATTTTATGCAAAATTTACAGTTTTGGAGTCATTCAAGTGTGGAGCTATTACTCAGGTTTAGGTACACATTTCAAATGCAGAAACAAATTATTTCTGACTACCTCAGATATTTCTGCTTTGTTGTAGTCAGTATAAAACTTTAGATTTAAATCAGTCCCTTTGTTTAGCAGTTGCACAAAGATGCTGGTCCCGGCAGTTTCCTTAGATGTTTATAGATGGCTCTTTTGCAGTCTGCTGTCCATACGAACACCACAATCTTTTTTGATAAGACAGTTGTCAGAATGTTAACTAAGCCCTACCCTGCCACAACATCAGCCCTTCTTATTGTCTACATACAGCAAGTCAATATTACTTCCATTCTTTCACTGATAACAAGAAAAAAGTTGAAATTCATTCTTGGTATCCTCTTTGGATATTCCCTTCAATAAAAGTTACATTAGCAATTGGATCTTGTGGGCTCAGTTTGTTTTTTTTTTTATCTCATAAGAAAAACGGAACAAGAAACAAACTTAAGAGAACCCTTAGAGTCTCCTCTGTGAACCTGCCTTCAGTTGCTACTTGGTTCAGAAGACTCCCACATCTTGACAGCTCCACACTTTTGCCAAATGAGGCAAGCAACAGCATTTCATAAAATGATTGCTCCACAATTCATTCACTGAAACACCAGCTCTCAAGCTCAAAAATGGGATTGTAGTAGCT